TATATTTAACCCAGCATTTTTTAGAGTGTAATGTTCCACTCAAATGCATTTGTTAAAACCGCATATTCACCTTAAATGCACGCTTTTACCGACCAGTCTTGTCCTTTGAAGGGTACACAGAAGCAGCAACTGACTGTCCTCATCTGGAGTGCCACCAAAATGAATCTCTGTGATGTTCCAACAAGTTATGAGTCATCATTTCAGTCCTCCGTCTCCACAGAGCCAGTTGTCTATAATAGATGCTCAAACTTTAGGTTTGAACATTTGCATTCTTAGCTGCCAGCTACTGTATGCCAAAAAGATCAGTTATCATAGTCAATATCAATGAATACAGATATGGCCCATTCAAAGCTCTGAGTCCAACAAACAACACTACAAGCATATCCTGAGTTTTGAATCACTCTCATGCAGCCTTAAGGAACCACAGTAAAAAATAACATCATGGAGTGCCTCAAGATCTTTCTGACTGAAGACATGAGAACGGATCCCTGTGAAAATAGTTCTATTTTCTGAGGGAATGAAGGAGGGATACAGCAACAGGCTGCTCATGGAAAAATAAATATGCCACCATTGCTCATTGTATGAGAACTGGGAAAGTATTTCAAGGCACAATTGGAGAATCAAACAATACTGATTCTCTATTTAAAGTAGTTTTTTAATGAAATGCTGTTACTATCAATACAAACGTTCTATTTATGTGGTGTTCTGTGTTGAGTAGCTCTGCCAACTGTGAAATCTCCCAAATAAATAAATAGCCTACATACAGTATATACATGTAAATAAACATAAAATATGGTCGGATTGTGCAAGGTTGCACAGCAAATTTCTTCACAGGAAACTTGTCATGCCTATTTAAGACACTCTTGGCTTATGAAGTACCAAGTTTGTAATTTTGCTAAACGCAATCACAAACTAATATAAAATTGAAAAGTAGAAAGGTAAAATATGAGACAATGTTTTTTTTTCAGTTATTTTTGTTCCTGGCAAAAATATCACAGTGTGGGAGGATAGATCAGGGCCAGACTCATTTCAACACTTACCCTATCCTGCGGTGAGAGTGAAATGGAACCAGGTCTATTTGTGGAATCTAAATAAACCATTCAAAAAATAACACCCTTAAAACTGCCCCGCTGATACATTCTCTAGATTAGAATTCTCTAGAACTGTCCATGGCTTTACTGTCAATCAAAACAAGATCCTGTTACTGTCATGTGTCATGTCTGACATTTATAGCTTGAAACAAGATGGAATATCTTGATGAAACATAATAAAAAAAAAACATGCTGACCAAAAACTAGCTTAGTCATACATTTGGTTTACATAATTTTTTTCTTTAATATAATATGCACATGCAAACACACAGATGCACACACACGCACATGTTGGGTTCCCATGTTTTATGGTGACATCCCATAGACGTAAAAAAAAATGTCCCAACAATGTCAAAATATACTGGTATTACTATTATCTTAGGGGGCATTTGGTCCTCATAATGTAGGAAATACCAGGAACACACAAATATACTGTATATGTGAAAGTATTTAATTTTCATAGTTTGCATTTATCCTTCAAGATCCTTCAGAAATCGTTCGAATATGCTGATTTGGTGATCTAATTAATGCATGCTTACTGAACAAAAGTATTACTTCTCTAAAAAAAACTTACTGACACAAAATGTTTGAATGGCACTGTATATGTATATATTGTACATAAAAAATAAGTATTTATATTATTTAATAGTAATAAACAGAATTATACATATATAAAAATGGAAAACACTGCAAAATACTGTTTCATATACATACTTCATTAAAAAAATGGCTTCTGAAAATGTTGTGCAACAGTCACTGTTCTTCCTTTAGTTTAACATTTCAATCCTGTTGAATTGATTCAGACACATTCGGCATGTCATAAAAAGAAAAATAATTGCTTGTGTAAAGTTTGGCTTGAGCTATTAAAAGGGATAAGGCTTTGAAGAGAATAATGCATTATAACACATGATAACACATCATAACCTTAGGTTAATTGTTTGAATTGTTTATTGTTCGTGGTATAATGGAAATGAGTGGTGAATGAATGTTTCTATTTTCGGTATGAAAAGGACGTGCTAAAAATTACACAAAGCTAAGCCTAATCAAACAGACAAACAATTCCCTGCCAAAAAAAAAAAAAAAATGTCTGTCAATTCTGAGGCTGTGAGAGTCTGAAGGTTAAATATAATGTCTTGATTAATGCTCCATTTTCAGAAATCCTTCAATCTAGCAGGTGGCCAAACATTTTAGGAGACAGTTACTGATGACTTTATTACAAGGTGACAGAGGTTCTGAGGCAGCAACGGAAAAGCCTATGGAAAGAAAAAACAACCCAGAAGAGCTGTCATAAAGTCACTGTGAGGGAAAGGACAAAAACACGTCCGGTTGTTATTTGTTCCACATCAGCTAGAACTGGTTTTGCTTCAATTAAGGTCAGCCATTGAATTGCGCTTAACAAAAGCCACCTGTATTCTTGGAGAGCAATCACAATGTAGCGCTCTATTTTTGGATTGCCCCCATCTGTGCTTGAAGCACCTATAAAATAGGCAATTTTACAGGTGGAACCGTGGATCAGTCAGTTGTGTCTGAGGGATAACCGATCTGGGCATGTGAAGATGCCTGGAGCTTGACAGCATGGTGGATTGAAGGACCACACAGCTCATGTAATTTACTCAGAGTGAGAAAAGCACAGAGAACAAGAGAAATCACAGGAAACCAGTGGCCTTCCCTTTCAATTTACACTATTACTTTTACAATTGTCCTTGCATATCTCGTAACACTGAAGATTGTTATGACAAATTGCAAAAGTAATCATGCAAATTGTGATGAGCTGCTGGTTTCTTTTGGCTTCTCTCTCTCTCTCTCTCTCTCAACAATTTCAACAATTGCTGAAATACGTTGCCGGTGTGCTCGAGGAGAGAGGTGACATGCTGTTAGCCACAGATACATCCGACTTCTAATTGCTTTCAAAAGCCATTTCCTATGATATTTGGCCACAGCAGAAGTTCATTTGCATCCTATGAAGAAGGTGCCTTGTTTTTTCCTTGCCAAACGGGTCACACTTTCTCACGCTAATTATCCTAATGAGTCATCGTTACCTGCACATCACGGCCCCATAAAAAGGTAAAAATAGACACAGAACAAGATGGAGAACTGTACTAATTAACACGGCTCACCCTGTTTGCTGATTTTCCTCAAATGCAGGGAAGACAAATTAAACTTTTTTTAAGGCTATAATCGTGCTTGTTGAGGAATGTTTTTGGATGTATTGTGATTCCACAGTTCAGAAAGCACATTGTGAAAGTATAGACCAATTCAGAGTAGACGTCACAGTTACGTCACTTGCAGCTGCGCGCGCATAGTGGTTGCAGAAAAACACTGGGAACAAGTGGAGATAAATGGGTAAAATCCATGGAATAAAAGAAAAAAATATTTTTGTGCCTTTTGATGTCAAGATCGGAATGCAAATAATTTTTATAGAATACTGTCGTCAAAGACCCCATTTGAAGCTAAACGCAGACGTTTAAAAGGACATACTATGGATGAAAACTGTTATGATTACCTATTAACATTTTTACATAACATTTATTTATTTTATCTCACAATTCTGACTTTTTTTTTTCTCGCAAATGCAAGTTTATATCTCCTAATTCGGACTTTATAACTCGACTTAACTCAAAAATAGTGAGTTTGTCAAATCTGAGGGAAAAAAGCCAGAAGAGCCGAGGGGAAAAGAGAGAATGACGAGTTGTTTTTCCTTATTAGAATTGTGAGATATAATCTCGGAATTGCGAAAATAAAGTCAGAATTTTGAAATATAAAATCAAATTTACCTTTTTTTATTCTTTTATTCCATAGCTCCATAGACTGCCGCTTGAAAACCGTCATTTTCTGCCTCCAGATAGGCTCCGCCCACAAAAAACGTCATCCCTGTTTCAGATCTGTAAGATTATCCCGCTCTCTAAATATCGGACTCTTTATCCAATTTTGTCAATAGAGTTGAAATCTTGCCTTCTCCTTTGTCTGACCATAAATCTATAATTTTATCTTTCGATAGCCCATCTTCTTACTCAAGAACATATAATTCATACTGGAAACTTAACTCTGTTTAATTAGAGGATGCGGAAATTTGTAGGTCTGTGATATCTAGGATTATTTTTTTTCTTAACAAAGCTCAAGCCGAGGATAATTTTGGTTCTAATTGGGAGCTGCTAAAATATAATATTAGATTAATTTTAGTCAAAGCTGGAACTCAAAAAGCTAAGCAATATAAAGCAGAGGAACTTGATATTGTTAAAAGACTTGTCTACCTCTCCTGCTCTCCTTTTGAGAATTTATCTGTTGACCAGAAATCAGAATTAGTTGAACTTCAGAATTCATTAGATAACTTGTATAATTGTATTTGTTGTTCTTCTATTGCATAATAAAAAATAAAAAAAATAAAATAAAAAATCCCGCTCTCTAACGTCAATTTCGTTGAATAACAGTGCTTATCGCTGGGTGACAAGCTCTTGTAATATGCGGAGAACATTTTGAAAATGACATCTAATCAATATAATTTATAATCTTTTTAAACCTAACTATTTTGTACCCTATCCGTGAAATTCTCTAGCCGTAAAGGCTATCTCTCCCGGGTTTTCTGCAACCATGATGCGCGCGCATCCTGAATGTTTACAAACTTATAATCGGTCTATTATAACCTAATTTACTTTTAAATTAGATCTTATTAGTTAGGGTAGGTCTGACAGTGAATGGAGGGATTTAACAAGTTAAAGAAAATACATTAAAATAGAAAACAATTATTTTGTAAAACTGTATTAGTTTAATTAAAATTTATTTATGATGAAATAAATGCATCCTTAGTGAGCATAAGAGACATCTTTCAAAAACATTTAAAAAATCTGACCGACCCCAAACTTTCAAACAGTGGTTTATAATATAAGCTAAATTAATAGAACAATGTCTTACCTGTTTTAACTTCTTCAAGTCTTCATCCAACTCAAGATTGTCCAAAATCACAGCCACAAAAAGACTCAGAAGGATCTAAAAGACAAGAACATATTGAATTTATCTTTCATTACAATTTGCCAATACATCCTTATATGCATTTAGAGTACTGTTTAGACAAAACAAATAAGCCATTTGAAGATATTTAAGACAATTCTTTCATTAGTCACATATCTTAACTGAACATCAACAGGTCTCAGCAGTTTTAAGACATAAACACTGTGATGTGGCCTCAATATTCTCTGCCATACATTGTCAGTAGGTGTATTGTGCTCATGGGGTGATGTTAACAGATAATCTGTCATGCAAACATGAGTTCTGTCCAAGATGTAGTTATGGTCCAACAATAAAAATAGCGTTTGAAAAATAATATGCTATGGTGGCCATGTCAGAGCCAAAGGAAAACAAAAACAAAAACATTTCACCATAAACACAGCAAACAAAAGATTAGAAGCTCAGGACAGCAACAACAACAACAAAAATGTAGTAAATCAATCACAGCTGACTGTGCCTTAGATGTCATCAGTGCTTTGATATTTAATGACACTTCTCCTTATATGTGAGGTGTCTAAAGCTGTCCTCAAATGCATTAGGCATTGTGTCTTTTCTCTTCATCATATTTTCTTCTTTTTTTTGTGACAGGAAATTAATAAATGATTCAGCCGTGTCTTGATTACATGCTCGGTCTGTTCTGTCATTAGTGTGCACTCTCATTCAAATGTCAAATTTAAACGGCTGCTCCTCACTCACTCAAACTTGTCAAAAGTCAAACAAAAGAAAAAAAATCATTACGACCATAGTGCAATTACATCCAGAGTACATTCTGTTCTCAACTGAGGATATTGCCAAGAAATGGTTAACATAAATCTATAGCTAAGATTTCATGTGCAAATATTTCATTATTTTTGCAGTATACTTATATACTGTATATGCATTGCATTGTGGAGATTTTATGTCAATGGTTGGTAAAACAACAACAAGACACCAATGGTTAAATGTTTGCTTGTAATATCTGTAATGGGGAGTGACAGGGGCCGTGATGTTGCTGTGAAATGCCCCAAAGGCGTGTTTTTTTAAATATAAAAATACGGGTGAAGGAAGTGTTTGATGTCAGGTGTGACGACTATAAAATGCGTGTGTGTTAGGATGTTTCCAGAGGCAATTTACTGCTGTACTTCCTAAGCAAGTTTTGTTTCTTTTGTTTCTGTTCATGGTTAGGTGGCAGCACAGAAATGTATCCATGTCCACTCTATACACAACACAAGTTTTTCAGGCAACAAGCAGTCAGATAGTCACAAAACTAACCAGGATTTCCTCCTTGAAGTCTTTATAATTACTGCCTGAAGAAAACATAGCAGGCAGTACTCAACTGCTGTACTACAGAAAGTCCTACACACAGACTGATCCGCTTTATTCACATTCACTAAATACCTGAGTACCTTAGACATCAGCTAGAGTGCTGCATCTCTTCAAACCACAGAAAACTGTCCATTAGAGGTTGGAATACTGCTCTCACTAACATCCAACCTGCTACAGGATCTCTGAATATGTTCTCTTGATGGCTAGGTATGCCAGAAGATCAAGAGAGGGAAGGGAGGATGAAGGATGATTCATTTTCTAAAAGTCTGGTTAGCTCTCAGCAGCACAAATGCAAGCTTCATTTTAGATGCATTTGGTTTGCTGCTGTGTCCCTGAAATCGGGAACACATAGAGCATGTGCAACACATTGAACGGGGGTCCTTTATTGGATACCACAATGAAAATTAATGTGATGAGGTGGATCAGGCTTCAGACAAGTCCCATCACACACTGCCAGCTATCTTTTAAAGTAAATCTTATGTAAACCCTACGACCACATGCTCCCATAGTTTTAACCTGCACCAAAGGAGCCAGAGCAACAACTGTGAGTTGATAATTGTAATTTAAAGTTTAGTAATTTTAAAGTTTAGTTTCCAGAATTACATTTTGAAACATCGAAAACGTCTCAGGTTACTTGTGTAACCATGGTTCCCTGAGGGGAACGAGACACTGCGTCCTCTAGGTTGGTGTTTTTTCAATGTAGGCTTCAGACACGGGTCACGACGAGGCGTTCCCCATAGCGACCCCTAGAGGACGCAGTTCGAAGTTCCACGAAAGGGAACCCACTGGTTAACCACAAATGTATATGTTTGGATAGCATCACCAAAATACTGTATGACACATTTTTGTAGGTTAAAGCCCAGAAACAAGTTAGCATTTAGCACTTTATAACTTCAGGTTCCATTGTCCTGAAGTCAATGCGTTTTTTGAATGGGTTTTTAGTTTAAAACCTGAAATAAGGTCTGTGGTTAACACAAGCTTAAAATATTTTCCCGTTTTATTCTTTAAAATAAAATACATCAGTAATAACCCCTTTTGGTTTTTAAAAGCTTAACTTGTTTTGAAAAAAGCGGTTGCTAACAAAAGTTAGAGTTAGTTAAAAGGGACTGACTACAGGTTGTCGAGGCCTTTAAAAATCATCACGCTGAACAGGAAAATGAATCTAATCATTAGTCCATTTTTATAGCCTCGTGTTTATAATCACACTCTTGCAAACTATTATAACTTTGTCGGAAGACTAATAGTGGTGACATTGAAGTCATGCAACTATGGTGAAGTTTGCCTACATTTAGATTTTTGTATTTAGGCTTCAAAATTTGTGTTAAAGTTGTGTTGTATTAAACTGTAAAGACTATGATGATGAACAAAATGTGTAGGAATTATAAACTTTTGTTGGTTACAGAGCTTATTGTTTGCAATATTGCAAAAGCCAATGGAAAAATCTGAGTGATGCTAACTTTCAAGTTGGCCTACAAAAATATGTCATCACTGCAGCACTCTATAGAAATCCTTTTGTTTTATCTTACAGAAAAAGCACAAATAGTTATATTTACCAGTGTGGCAAACAGGTGGTAGAGAATGAAGTATATGGCCACCACTGGAGCCCACATCTGTCCCACTGCCACCAGAGTTTGGTCCATGACATCCACCCATCCCTCCTGTGTAAGAATCTGGAACATGGACATAAATGCCTGCAGGAAAGAAAAAGAGAAATTATCAGCCTGTATTTTTTGTATCAGTTTGGATTTTTTTTTATCACACTGTATTTCTTTATTCTTTTATGAGAAAATAACAAAAGTCCTTTACACGCTTGACAGCCCCCAGTGCCTCATCTGGATATTTTGAAAGTCATACACAGTTGGAATAACATGAGGGTGAAAAAACGATTTCTGGTTGAACTAAAACTTTAATAGGCATAACAGATGTACGCTTTCATGAATTTGATAGATGGCACTAATTGTCCTGACTCCTGACCTTTCCAGTCATCAAAACAAAATGGAAATTTGAAAACTAACAAGGCAGGGTAACAATTTTACGTTTGTCGCTTTTCCTAAATATATTCTCATGTATATACAAGGATTTTTGACTGACAGTGCTACGACAAAAATAAGACAAGGCAGAGCACAGCATTCACTGAAATGGATGCAAATAAAAATAAGGAAGAAGAAAAAACAGTGTGCCCCAGGTCTCAGCATCATACGGAGATATGAGACCACATTTTTATGGCCTTTTTTCCATGGAAGTCAAATGAAGGTCTAAACCCAGCTGGTCCCAAGCCTGGTCACAGTCACACTGTCTCTGAGTGACTGCAGATGAAGATAATTTTGCAACAGGTCTATTGACAAGGGAGCTGGGTAAACATCATTATCTTCAATGGTTACCGTGCCACCCGCCTTGGAAATGAGCGGCATCTGTTTATGTGAGCCCCTCCAAATCCCAGCACGCATTGGGATCAGTGGAGTCCCACTAATAACGGAGGATAAAAAGACACCACTAATGAGAACCCCTCTCATGAGCACATAGTATCAAAAAACTCGATACATCTCTTACATACTGACAAATTAAGTAGTATAATAGATTTAGAAATATTTTGGTCAATGCTGGTTTCCGAGTTCTTCTCTTTTGATCTACAACTACTTTCTGTGCCTCCAGAAAGAGGGAGATTTACCCGTGGAAATGTGGTGAAACGATCCAAGTCCTCCACAAAGCAGAACATCTGCAGACTGATGGCAGACATCACTATGAGCAGACTGGCAGTGAACACCACTAGACTGCCGAGTTTCTTCCCTGGACCAAAAATCTTATACACAAAGTCTTCCAATGCTGGAGAAATCTTTATTAGACGGACCACTCGCAAAACCTGCAGGTAAGAAGGAAGAACATTTCCGTTTTCTTAATTTAAATCAACTTATCAAAGCATCAACCAACCAATACATCCACAGAAGCATCTTATTACACAAGTTTGACATAAATATTACCATGAAAACTATCACCAGAAGGCCTATGAAGCATATTGGTGTTTGTTTTATTGATTTTTAATGAGCAAACACTGTTATCGGGTTCTTCCCAGAGTAACTTGGCTACAAATCGCATTGTTGCTCAAGCAGTTATTACATTACTCTAGGTGACAACAGATTTGAGCAATGATGTATCTAGGTTGAGTTTTGATCAAGAGCAGAGAATGGATATTGATCCATTTGCTTCTAGGTGAATGTGACCTGAGAGTCCTCCTGCTGTCGTTACTTTTAAACCTAGAAAAATCATCCAGCAATCCTCAGGAGAAGGTCTTTCTGCACAACTAACACATTGACAAATGTGCTTCTTTTGGGTTTTGTTGCTTCAGAGATCTAAAACTACAATGCTCATCTAATGGTGCTGACCATTGGTTATAATATTGATTTTTGCAACTGTATTTCAGTTAAATTCTAATCACAAAGTTTCTGTAGCTCAGCTGGTAAAGCATGGTGCTAGTAAGACGTTTCCCACACTTGGAACGCACATGCTGATGAATATGTGTAAATATGGTATATATCTTAAATACACTGAAAGTTACTTCAGTTGAAAGCATCTTCCAAATACATAAATGAAAATTCTTCCTAGGAAGACGATGAACTTTACTTGGGGACACTTTGTGTAATGTACAAGAGATTTCTTACTGCATAGCTTGAGATCCAATGGAAATCGAGTACTAATTAGGCTCTCCAGAAAATAAATTTAAGACCTATTGAATATGGCAAACTGGAAAGCAAAGGCTTAGTTTGACCTTTACAGTAAAACAAGGAATACATGACTGGTCTTTCTACAGTCTTAAAAACTGCTTATTAAATTATTTTTGTGAATGAACATTTTGCAGATTCTGCAAGGTTTATGTATATTTATGACCTCAACTTGTTACACACTTTGCATCTATGTGTTGCTGATACAATATGTACCTAACTCACACTGATACAAAAAAAACATCTTCAAGCACATAAATGTAAACAAGTTAATAAAAGTTGTAAAAAACTATTACAGAACATTCAATAATGCAAAGAAGTAATTATGTTCAAAAAGTTTTAGAATATGAGTTTGAAGCCAGACATTGCTATTTGCGACAATGACTCATTTCACTAATGATGGAAAAATATAGAATGCTATTTACAAATCAAATTTAACATGGTGACTGCTCATGGTGAATCATGTGTCTTTTTTATGGCAGCTTCATAATGAGCCCAGACATGAGGGGAGGATATGAATATTCACGGCTGGAGCTCCGCCCCTCCTGCCGAGAGAAAACTGGAGGGAGAGCGCAGGTTGTGTCCTTAATGAGGCTTGTCAACGTGAGCGGGCTTCATCCATTCCCATTCCCTGCAGCTGCCTGGAGATGTATGAAAACAGCTCCGCCATGGCCACCAGTATGTGTTATTACCCTGCATTAGTGCATGATTAGCATCTCAGAATCTAGCAGGTGCTGCACTCATGCAAGGAGCCTTTTACAAATGCTGTGGCTGCACGTGTCATGGCCTCAGTAAAAATAACGTAATTTGTCAAAACGTTACCATCAGAATCAATCATGTCTGGAAACTAATCTGAGATTTACAGAGACCGTATTTTGTCTTTTTGTCTAAAAATTAGCATGGTAACATGTTGGCAGATGACAATGTGGATGAGAAATCAAATCAAATCACCTCAAACTAAGTTTCTACTATCAGACGTTACTTAAAATGTAGCATGTTTTTATTGGTCTCACATCACAAGCTTCCAACCCTACACCATAAGTTGATTTCAGGAACATGTTGCAGGTTTGCTTGAGTAGTTATATGATAAATTTCAGTAATGACTAGTTCTAGATTTTCTTTGAATCTCTAACCTGGAAGTAGGTGAACTGCGAGTGGTAGAGATCAGGGTAGATGTGCAGGGTGGTGCCCACTACAAGCAGAGACTCAAACTTGTGTAGAGAGGAACTGATGTAGCCAGTGAAGCCCAAACACCAGATTTTCAGCAGGGCTTCCAAATCAAACAGCACAGTGAAGGCAACCTGAAAATGACAGAAAGAGACAATGAGAGGCAGGAAGCATGATAATGGAGAGCTGTTCCTTGTGTGCCCATTTCTTAGTAATTGCTTTTTAAGTATCCCTAGAGCCTTTGGTTTTTGCAAAGGGAACACGTATGTGAATACACGCACATTCAAACAAAGAGGGCTGAAGAACCATTTCCATTAATAATAACTCTGCTTTTTCATGTATAAGATACAATATATAGGAAGGACGTAATGGAAAATAAATGCAATCTTAGTGAGATGCATTAAGGCACGGGAATGTCAACAGACGACGGAAAACAAATGTAGTATTTCCCCAGTTTTCCCCCATTTGGTCTGATCCAAATAAAGAGCAGTGTGGATTAATGATGAGATGGATCAGTCTGTGAATATGTGGGGTGCCTCTTCCTCCTTATCTCTGTCTTTCAGCTTGGAGTGGGCGGGTGGCCACACTCCTCTATCTGTCTTTGTTCCCACTGTGCCACCTGCATACTGATTGCAGAGGCAGTGCGTGGCAAACAGGACACATATACACACACATACACACACACCAACCCGGCGCTCGCTAAAATGGTGTGTTGCCCACAAGCTGTTTGCGCCCACGTTGTCACTCAGTTGATTTAATCTCAGGGTTTTTAAGGCGACAGAAAGTGATGAGGATATGTATATATGAGTTTTCAGCAAAATCTGATCTGCTGATGCGTTTGAGTGCAATAACAATATAAGGGTTCTTCTGCCCATCTCATAACTCAAGATAACAGTGCAAAATTGTGTCTTTTAAAACTAATAAACATTGCCAAGACAAAGAAAGCACAGAAAATCCATCCCAGAAAAGTGTATTATCAAGTAGCATCTTGACACTGAATATCTGTAAAAGATGTGAAGGTTTTCACAGTGGGATTCAAATTATGCAGCACTCGTTGCACCTAGCATGAAAAGTGATCAGGGCGTGACTAGTAACATCTGGGGCATCCATTTTAGGCATCAGATATATGCTGTGTCCCAGATAAAATCTTAATTAAAAATGATAAGGAATTACAAATTAATGTAATTTTTGTATATAATTTTAAGCTCTATATTTCTAGCTCTGTTCAATTTACCCCAAAAATTGGACATAAAATAAAATAAACTGTATGGCATTTTATTACATGGTATTTTATCTACAGTTAGCTATGTGTAGTTTAATATAGGTTATATGTTCACATTGGTTATATAGGTATATGTAAATGATATATTTCTTTGTTTTATATGATTATATATCCGCCTATATGTAGCACCGTGGTCTTGTGCGGCACAACATTTCTATCCCACATATAGTGGAATGACAATAAACTTGAATTTGAACTTAAAGGGATAGTTCACCCAAAAATGAAAATTCTGTCATTAATTACTCACCTTCATGTAGTTCCAAACCCGTAAGAAATTTGTTCATCTTCAGAACACAAATTAAGATATTTTTGATGAAATTCGAGTGCTTTCTGACCCTTTGAAGATCTTACGAAGGTCTTACGGGTTTGGAACAACATGAGGGCAAGTAATTAATGACAGAATGTTCATTTTTGGGTGAACTATACCTTTAAACAACAGATGTGCTTCTCATCTCAAATTAAATCAGTAATATATCATATTTAACAACTGGTAATAATCATCGTGTTTCAGCAAAAGCTCATTGTGTTCTTGTGAAATTGCTACACACATTAAAAAAGACATCAACAAGTTTCTAAGAATCGATTTTGACAGGTCTTACCTCAGCCAGGTAGAACTCGTCATTGGTGAGTTTATGGTCCTCGCCCCTGTGGTAATTGCTAGCAGCTACAATCACGTCAACGGCCACCATACTGAGGATGAACATGTGGAAAACTGAAGATCGCATCAGTTGCTGCAGAGAGAGAAGATCAGACACAGTGTTGCCATTAGTTTAGCGACATGCTAACAAAGTCCTTTTGAGGCATGTCAGTGCAGACAATTGTTTTGTCAACTGTGCATATATATTTTAACTGTGCATGCATTTCAGTCAACTGAAATGCACAACTTCTATTCCTAGAGCTGCCATACTGAGCAATTTCTTTAATTATTTTTATATGTATGTGGTACAGTACATCTCCTCTTGCTTTTAATGTCTCTAGATGTATATTCTCCCTTATGAACAAGTAGGCTGACTGCTTCCTCATATTGAGTGTAGCTGCCAGAAGAACATAATTTTCCACTTGATTCTCCACTCTTGTATAATGGAACCCTTTAATTACAGTAAGGACTGAGCCAACTAAATGGACCCTTACTGCCTGAGCCCTCAGCAGGCCAAATTAACCCATCACAGGCCCATTACAGACCCAGGAACATGAGGCAGGAAAGACAACTTAATTTAAGCCCAGACTGAGCCACCTGTCTGCTGCCCATGAAATCTGTCTCCACTTGAGACTGCGGCAGGTATTTTTTCCTCTAAAAGTTAGCTGCAACATTGGATGAATTATAATGGAGGTATTTGATTTGAAAAACAACATTAAACTCAAGGAGCATTATAAAGAAATGTTCCTGCCACAAAACATGACATTTGGAGCACTGTAATTTTATTTCTTTTTTTTACTTTTTATATTAAGATATTTCTTATTATTGGCATTAAAAGGCTCCAGAAGCCCATTTCTTCTCACTCCTGCCAAGTTTCTTCCAGTGAGGGAAGAAAAAACACTGACTAATAAGACATAATCTTTTGGGTCATGTGTCTGGAAGCCAGCATTCTAGATAAACAGCTGTCTCTGGAGCTGTTATCATGGGTCTCGGAGTACAAAATACAACATATTAAAGCCATAAAGGTAGCAAACAAGCAAGCAAACAGCAGTGATATGAAAATAAATTACTAACAAAATGAGAATGTGTTTATTAATATATATTTATACTACACCTGCCTAGCATGACTTTATTAGAAACAGCTTTGCTATTATTACTAACAGTACATTTCTATTATTGTCATCACACAGTTATATTTTCCTACATCACCCAATCAATAAAAGTAAATGAAAGTATAAAAGCAAATGAAATTTGCATAGACTATATTTTGTATTAAGGTGAGCGAAGTATGCATTGAGCTGCAGGCTGTATTAATTTAAAGCAAGTGACATTTGTATTATCAGATGGGTCCATACCTGTTTTATACCCACGGTTCTTTCTATGGTTTAAACTGAAAAACTGTCACAAAAAATAAATTACTCCATGCAGAAAATTAGTGCAAGTTCAAGCTTTTTTTGTGATGACATATGTTTACAAGCCAACTTAAATATTTGTATTATTTTTATTATAACTATTATTATTGTGGAATTCCAGGGAAAATACAATACCCACAATTCTGAAGGAGATCCACCAACCAGAGAAGTAATTGTTGCCATGGAAACAGGATTCTGGGGAACAGAGCTCAACAGTAACCACTCACTCCCATAAAGCATTGCGCATGATGTAACGATGTGTATATTCTCATTACACTCTGAAATAACTTATATATTTGCATACATTTAAATAGTCTGCAATAAACTTCAAATATATGGTACTTCTGACCCTTTTACATAATTTACAATTTTTTCAAAATAATGTGAGTACTGGCAGACAGGGGACAGGATGGAGTGTTTGGGAAACCTGTTTGGAAGCAATATTTCTATTTCAACAAAACGTACACACTCAACCTTTAACTCCAATTCACCAGCTATGTACACAGAGGAAATACCAAACGTGACCAATGACAGAGAGCCAATATCTAGTACATTGCAGTGTTATGACACAGTGGATGGCACAGTCTAACTTGTATATGCGCTCACAGCTTGGGTGCATTTATGTGTTATAAAACAATGAGAAGACACACAAAAGAGATGCAGATAAAATGCAACATGTACACTCAACTGTCCAAATACATGAACGCAGCTTGTGGGTGGGTGGAAAATCTCAAATGAGCTGGAGAGAGAGGAAATGAAAAAGAGACCAAAAAAAAAAAAACAGAGGAAGAGAAGAGAGAAAATGAGAACAGAGGAAGGACCTTTTGGAAGACCAACAGAAAGAATCCCACATCTTTTGGAACAGCCAAAACAGTAAATAACAATTATATAAAAGAGATTAAACTCCTCTTTAATAGAGAGGAGTGAGGTAAACCAGTCTACAACAGCATCGAACTCTTGCTTTTGCTTAATTTGTCTGTACTGATATATCTATCTAATAACAGTAAAATTGAGTATTATTTTATTGCTTTATATACAGCTAAAGCATTTAGGGGAGGTCCTGCCTTCCTTACAGACCACTTTTTTAACATTAGTCACTCAGTCAAATTGCTGAAAGCAAAAGACAGCAAGAAGCAATTAAATAGAAAATGGTTTATTAAGTAGAGAGGTGAAAGACCTGTGGCAGGGTTCGTAGGCAGAGACATAAAAAGAGACATTCTCCCTCCGGGTTTGACAGCCAGACTGGGCCACATGTGTAACAATGTGGGCCCCACACCACATACAACCTTCAAAATAAAGCTTGCCTTTGGAAAGACAATAGCAAAAAGAAGGCTCCTGTCCCCGAGTTTAGCCCAGTGAGGGCTCCAGTCCCCAAGTCAAGCCCAGGGAGGGCCACTGTTCCCGAGTTAGGCCTACGGAGGGCCTCTAAAGACGATAATCTCCCCAAGGATAATCTCCCCAAGGCCGGGCCGAGTGGTGAGGCCAAGGCCACGGAGGCCGTCCAGCCATGGCCTTCTGAGTTTCCTGCTCCGCCGTGGCCTCCTGAACTGTCTGATCCGCCATGGCCTTTTGAGCTGCCTGCTCCGCCATGGCTCCCCGAGCTTCCTGTTCTGCCATGGCCCCCCGAGCTCCCTGTTCTGCCATGGCTTCCTGAACTGTATGCTCCGCCATGGCCTCCTGAACTGCCTGCTCCGCCATGGCTTTCTAGTCTGCCTGCTCCGCCATGGCACCCCGAGCTCCATGCTCCGCCATAGCCCCTGAGCTCCCTGTGCAGCCATGGCACCCTGGACTGCCTGATCCGCCCTGGAGGTATTCCCCGTGTCCCAGTCCTGCACCAGCCTCCAGGGCACCCACCCCAGTCAGACAGTAATGTCAGACTCTGTTCCGTGTTTTGTGTATGTTTTGCTCCCCATGTGATCCTTATGCCCATATTTGGTTCTTCCTTTTCCTGTTCCCATTATGTTCCCCAATTAGAACTTTCAGTCTTTGCAGTCTTCTTTGACTGTGAGGGGTCAGTAAGATGTTTTTTTTTTTTAAATAATTTTTATACCATGTCTCTTGTTTTATGGTGCTAAATTTCCTACACCTTCTACCTTATTTTATTTATTCTCAGGTTAGGTAAAATAAGTCAAATCTGTCCTATCTCATAAGCATCTGAGTTCATACTTACAAAACTCCGTGGTTTATTCTGTCTTAGCTGTTAAATCAATGCCAGGGGAGGCAGACTTGTGTTGTATAAATACAAGTCAGTTTATTTATTACAATTAGTAAGTAAGCTGTACAAATATTCTACAACAACGTAAAGTATTAAATAAAGTATAAATATGAAAAAGTTCTTTGCTCAAGGCAATATCAGCGATGGTTCTGGTGCCTGAGAAGCTCTTCAGGTGGTCCCAAAACAGCATCTGATTTCATCATCGCACTTCAGTCTTTTATAGACAGCAGGTGGATCCCAATGTCTTGTGACATCATACTGGAAATCCCCCAAGAAGTTGTTTATAAAAGGCCTTGCATCTTCTCATTTTTCTTCTTCAGGATTCTTTGCTCTGCTGTCTTTAAAGGTCCCATATTGTCAAAACTGATATTTCCTGCCTTTTTTCACGATAACTTGAGGACTAGGGGCTATTTAACTACCATATAAGTTTCAAAACAGTCAGTCCACAGTAAAATGCACACAGCCTGCATAAAGTAGCTGTGATTTTTCACAAACCATTGTGACTTCCGTAAAAAGTTGACGTCAGAACTACACAGTCACCGCCTTCAGTCACCACCCCGAGCACCGCCCACCGTCCCACTCTCCTTTAGCCAAACCCCAAGAAACATAGACATATGGCAAGAAATCTGTAGTAATTATATGCCCATAACAACAAAATACAGTACTTTATTGAACCTTTTCTGATAAGAAGTGTGCGCTGCAAATGCAAGCATTTTTGACTATCGTTTCTGTCCAGTCTGCTCGTTTTATCGCGTTTAACCACAGCTGTCGTCGTTTTTTTTTTGTCTGGCAGTGGCAGCAGATATGCGATCAAATTTCTAATTTGAGGCTGTATTACGTCGATTCTGGCACCCAACATCACAACAAGATGATATTTTAAGCTTCATGTGTAGCCGAATCTGCGCTGGTTTGAATGGGCCGCCTCCAGTTTCCCCTTTGTTTCGCTGCCTCCAGCTAGCGCTGTGACGTCGGCTGATCCTAGTTACCTGTGGTTGGCCTGGCCGTGCGTCACTCAGAAAACAACTGGCCAATCAGAAGAGAGGCTCATGAATATTAATTAGACAGGCCAAAATCTACCTGTTCTCAGCAGAGCTCCTAAGAGAGGAGCTGTAAAAATATATTGAGATGGTTTTTGGTACTTATACCGCAAATATATATTCTTAAGGACATCAAAACCTAAAATAAAACTCCAGAAAGGTGTAAAATATGTGACCTTTAAAGCATCGTCTGAAACACACCAGCTGAGGTAATGCTCACCTTCTTTTTTTCTTCAATGCTCTTGCTAATACATGTGTCATCTCTATCAGTGCTCTTGTTTATACATGTTATAAACATTTTCGTAATAAATGCTTAAAACAACAAGTGTGGTGTTTTACTTAATAAACCACTTTCTCAAAACAAATACAATATCATGTGTGGTGTCTTTCTTAATAAACCACCTTCTTAATAAAACAAATACAATATAAT